TTCAAAGAATTACCTTGATAACTGCAATAACGCCGGCATCCTGAGTACCAGCAATAGTCTCAGCATTGAGCCTGCCAGATAAGTACGGATCGACTGAGAAGCCTTCAAAGTTGCGTCCGGCCAGTGGTGATCTCCCAAGTGGTCCAGCATTCGGCCCAAGCATGACGTTTACTGCATACGAGCACGTCAGCACATTTTTCAATCTAAATTCAAATAGTATTGGACCATCATACCTCCTTTGGCTTTAAACTCGAGGCCCATGTAGAGGCCCCTCTCGTATGTCAAGTTCTTGTCCCAACTAGCGCCAGCATGGATGGCGGATGGGTATGAGTTGACCATATCGGTAGCACGAACGCCGTTTCCAGCATCATGTAGACACATGCCAGGCCAGTTGAGTCGCGGTACAGTTCCCGTGTTGCCGGCACAAATGTTGTCGGACACGGTAAAGCCTCGCGTAATATTGACCTTTTCTTCGAGAGTCATTTGGTCCACAAGATCTCTGGCACTGGCATATGCCGCCTCCCACTTGCCGGTTCCGTTGCCCGCAGCTGTTCCAATGCATTTCAGTATTCGTTTGGATTGAGGGTTTCCAGGCTTAAGCTAGAGCCTTGATATAACTTACGTGAGGGATAGGTTGGTGGTGAGCTTGCATACGAAGCCATGACCGATACCGCTGAGCACAGCACAAGGACGACTTGTGCCGCCATTTTCCGCTGCGACTTCATCGTCACGAGCAAAGATGAATTATGCGAACTTAAACAAATGGTTTATCAAGAGCAGTGTCCGACCATTATTTTGTTCCTTTTTGCAGTAATTGATCACAGAAGACTGAGCAATGTGGAAACAATGCTGAGGGCAGTTCTGGGGGTGTAAATGGGAAGGAACGAGCCTTGCAAGAGTTTGATGCTCTTGAATCAGACGCATCAACACAATCACCCACTTGCAAGATGACTTCGAATCACAACGTTGTCAAGTTTGTTGCCTGGAAAAGAAATGTAGTCAGTACCTTGCTCTCCTGGCGGCGGCAATTGAACAAATAAATATTGTTGGCAATTGACCCAATTGATCTGACACCCTGATCACGGCAGCAAACGGTATTAAATGCTGCCGATGCAGACCCAAACATGCATCAGAAAAATCGCTAGAAGCCAAGAAGCCCAATAGCCAAAAGTTACGTAGGTCGTGCAAGGTAAGACAACCTTAAGAACGCTTCCTGGGACCACATGGCAGGCCGCAGAGAAGCTTAGGGGGGTTCGGCTAGTCTCCCCCGGGAACCTAACCGCCTGTGACCAATTGGAAACCGCCCAAGCTTGCCTGCGCCCTGGCTAAGGGGAGGGGGAACACTGGACTGTACCCATAACGGCATTCGATATGGAGAGAGTTTCGCGACAATCACAGCCCAAAGAAACAGCACTGTCGCCCTTCTTCACCGCATCGATCCCGGGAGGCTGACTGCATGATCCCCGGAGTTTTGAGCGCCGGATGACGATTCCGAATTGCCGGTCGGTCACGGATTGCTACCAAAGACGATCGATACGAGAGGTTTCTTCTCGTCACATCCGCTCTTTTCTTCGCTTCTTCTGGCTCCGGTAGAACACCGGCTGAACCACGGATGATTGTGGTCAATGATCATCACCTACTTGCTGCAAAATGCATGCCGGCTCGACCGGTGATGACGATGTTCCTGCTGCAAAGGAACGAACCGTATCTTAAAGTGGGGTTCCAACGTTGATTATGCTTAATCACAAGTCCTTGGACGGGAAATAATCACGGCTTCTTTCGTTCGGCAGAGCGGAGTTACGAACTCATGCAACGCCAGAATCTTTGCACGAAATGAGGAAACGGATGCTGCTGACTCTCAGCATGCAAACATGACGCATTGTCCAAAAACAAATCAATTAATACGCTCGCTCGTACACGGTTTATGTAAGCTGCTGTGCCGGAATTCAACTGGCAGGCTGCACACTCGTCGTCTAATCGTAAACGCTGCATCAAGGTATCTCCATCCAAAAAATCGTGTGACATTACGTCGATACTTTTCTACTTTGCATCAACAAACAGAAGTTGGCGTCTAGAAAAGACCGCCATCTAAGGTTTCCATCGCCAGGCCGGGTTCTTCCACTCAAGATCCTCAATCTCCTCGGCAGTGAGCCCGTCAAGCGCCTGATCAATATCTTTCTGGTCGCGCTTCTTGTTGTCGCGCTCCATCCACAGCAAGGTGAGAGTGCTGGAGATGAGAATGGTCGACGCGGCCGCGAGGTTGAGCCCGTTGCCAATGTGGTAGTTGGGGGCGTCCCAGGCAATGTAGCTCCAGGTCGCGACCAGGCCGCCAATGTTGCCAAAGGTCATGTTGGTGGCCAGGGACATGCTGCGCGACGTGTCGCTGATGACCTGCGCGGCGACCTGGGCGTTGGACATGGGCCCGATGGCAAAGGTGCTGCTGGTCAGGAAAAAGGTGGCGGCGTAGCGGACCGTCGGGTTGGTGCTGCCGAGGAACATGGCGTAGCCGATCATGACCAGGGGCGCGGCGGCAATGATGAAGATTTGTCGCTTGTCCGTCCTCCAGCTGAGTGCGGGCAGCAGTAGCGTGAAGAAGGCTCCGACAATGTAGGGGGGCACCGTGTATAGTTGCTTTTGGATTGTCGTGTAAGTCGGGTAGATGGTGGCGACGATTGTTGGCAAGAAGAAGGCCAATCCCTGGACCGTGATGTTGTTGAGCATGAACACGAAAGCTGTGCTCAATACCGCAGGGTTCCAGAATCCGTACAACAACTTCTTCTTGGTGAATTTATCGAGGACACTGGTTTGTCCGACACGCTCCGACTTGACACGGGCAATGGCCAGGTCTTTCTCCTCTTGTGTGAGCCTGCGTAGGTAGAGATGATTAGCTGCGCCCATCCATTATATATCATGAAAATCAATGTGATGATTATCTTACCATCGGGCAGTCGCGGGTCGGTCAGTCAGCGTGAAGAAAGAAATCAGCGACAATCCAATCGTGATAATTCCTTCAATCGCAAAGATCATGCGCCATTTGTGCAGCATTCCAAAGCCAGGCAGACTCAGGATACCAGATGCGAGGAGACCACCAAAGGCGCCGGCCAAAGGTGACATGACGATGAAGAGAGAAAGTCTAAACGCCAGCTCGGAACGACGGTACCAGCGCGACAGGTAGTAGGAAATTCCCGGCATCATGCCACTCTCAAACACACCAAGCACAAATCGCACGCCACAGGCCTGGGGCAACGTGGTGACGAACGCAGTGCCGAGAGAGGCAATACCGAAGCACAGGGACATGATGGGGATCGCCCATCCGGGTCCAAGCCACTTGCAGCCCAGGTTGCAAGGTACCTCGAACAGGATATAGCTGATGTAGAAGACCGACAGCAGCTTGTTGTAGTCGTACGTGCCCGTCATGCCCAATTCTGTCTCAAGCCCGGCCAGCCTGGCATTACCTGAGCAACAGTCAATATCGTGATGCTCGTAGAAAAGTTCATTTGCGGTTGCGAAAACCCACCAATATTTGCTCGGTCGATGAAACAGAACAGATACAGAAGCGCGACAGTGGGTATCACGTAGAGATCGATCTTGAGGCGTAGTTTCCTCTCGGCGGCTTTGTCGATGTGAACCAGCGAGTGGCCATATCTGTGGGCGCATTAGTCTGCAAAGTTCACACTTCCGACGATCAGTCAAGCGGGATGCTCACCTATCGGTAGCGGCAAGGCCCCTTTCCGCTGCAGTATGGACATTCTCTTCATGCTTCAAGTCCATTGACTTTTCATTATGGTTGTCGTCAGGGTACGCCATCTTGGGCTGCTTGTGGAAGGGATTTCTTTCGCGCGCTCGACCTTGGGAGAGAAGCACGAGACAAGAAGAAGCAAGTCGAGACAAACAGGTCAGGAGAGTGGCATTTGAAAGGTAGACACGGCCGCCACAAGTAATGCTGATCGGATATTGATTAAGTTGCGATAAAAGCTACTAGGGTCGTACGTAACCACCGACCCTTCTTCTTATTGACTCGTGAGTATTGGTCCTGGCTCACTTTTTCTTTTCTGGACAAACGACCGAGGTGCGATCCTGCGCAAACCCTCGTGGCTTGACAGAATAGTGGGATAAGTGTTTATCAAGCGAGAAGGCCAAGACACAAAGGTTTGGAGAATCCCAGCGCAGTCAGCCTGGGCAGGTGTTTGGGAGTCAAGAATCGGCCAATGGATTACACAGCATGACTCTCAGCCGTCCCTTTTCCCAAAGCCGCTGAAGCTTAAAGGGAACTCGAGTGGTTCCTCCTATCGCTAGTTGCTATCTAGCTCCTCCTCCCCCAGATGGGGTTCCGTGCGGGGGTGGAGAGGCCACTGTGAATAGACCATCTTGGCATGAGGAGAAACGTCGGCCAACAACCCAGAGTTGGAATGGCGTCTGCCTTGATTCTGGCAAGCCATGAAGCGCCAAGATCTCTTCGAGACGCAGGTTAACCAGGGCGGTGGACCATCATGACAATTACGGCGGCGTACGTGGTAGCAATGCGACGCGTCGACCCTGTGCGCCACTCAAATTGAAGGACAAAAGGGAAAGTGACACATATATGTGCATGATAAGTAGGACTCTGCAGAGCTCATCACAACGGTCTGTACGAGATGCGGAATATTGCTTACCCAGAATCAACCGCGGATTCAACTGCCACGGCGATAACTTCGGGTCTTATTGACGGCTCTTGTTGGCATCGTAACTGAGAAGATTCTGTCGCAAACTACATTCCCACCTGCAATGGCGAGAACAACTCAAACAACTTCAAGACGCTTGAGTTACTATAGACTATTCACCTCACTAGGGGATGGGTTTATACCAAAACGAGCTCTGCGAGCTGGAGGTCGTGGGCGCAGAGCGTTCAAATGTGTACTACAGTATAACGGTCCATTTCGACAACACGCTAACCAAAAGCGAGTAGATATTTTGGAGCTTTCATATATCTCGATAAACGGCGTCGAAGTCCCAACAATGAAGCCCCGCTGGCTCAATGGTAGAGCGTAAGACTTCTATGGTATACAACTACTTTCCAGACTCATCTACAAGATGGCTGGAGATATGGATCCTTGTGAATCTTAAGGTTGCGGGTTCGACCCCCGCGTGGGGTTCTATTCATCCATGGCTTTCTTCCTTTTTAATCTGCATGAAACGCTTCTTTTTGGGTCGCATGCCATGCATCAGTGCATACGGTAGATTGAATGTACATATTTCCAACCAGTGTGGCTTTGTTGTTGATTTCAATATTTTGACAAGTATGTGGTAGCAACCATTGCGTAGTTTTGCGGGACACTATACTATATTCAATATTTGAAAGACGGTCTGCTTGAGGACGTCAACCCCAAGGAATTCGAAACCTTTGATGAGATCGTGAAGGACGTGCATAATGGTCCGGATACCCCAAAAGCTGAGCAAATCCCGAGCTGAATCCGCGCCTCAGTGTGTACAGAGACGTTGCCGAAATCATGAGCCGCTTACACGATCATATAGTGGCTTGGCTACTAGAGATGCGGAACTGATTTAGACGAGGTTTGTAATGGTGGATAAGTAGTGCCGGCAATCTGTTACGGCAACTGAAGCAGAGTGGAGTGAAAACTATACTCGCAAGCCACCATTTCTTCTCTCTCGCCAACTGTGTCAATGGGCTTGGTCGATGTATGGAGAAGCGAATGTCAAAGCACGGGTCTTGTGATCCTCGAAGACGGCAAAAACCATCTTCCGACACGGAATGGCAATAAGATTCAAGACCAGACGAGCTCGAAAGATCTTCGCACAAAATATTTGCCAATCAAGGCCAAGGAAGGCGTTCAGCAAACAGAGAGCAAGCTCAATGACAACAAGTCCAAGACGGGGAATAGCTCCAAAAATGGCTATTCATAATCGAAAAAGAGGAGTAGGAAACCATGCACTTGCGAAGAACAGTTCCCAAATCAGGCAGAGACGTCGTCACTGTGATCCTTATATTGCCTCTGCACACCCCCAGAAATCGACTCTACTGTCACCCCAGAGAGATTCATGACAATACAGTACCACCTGACATTGATATTGGACGAAACCGATGTGTCATAGTGTGCGATTCAGAAACTCGACGTGCCTCTCTGTGGGCAAAGACAGCGATTGCATAACCATTTCTGCTAGCTCAGCGATGAGCTCGATGCTGCGGGCCAGGGAGTCTTGAAAAATCGAGCCTGAACCTACAGACTTGTGTGCAAAAAAGATTTCGATGACTTTTCTTTGTCACAGGAACAATTCGAGTCGACAAGCTTTCGATTTAAGGGTGTTTGCATCAGAGTCAGTTGTGTAAGTCATTGGCATTTCTAATAAATTTAACAGAAATTCGGGTGCGAAATTTATCTAAGTCTCTAAGAATGCTGCCAGTCGGAGCACAATGCATTTATGATTATTATATCATTTCAAATTATTTGCTTTTTCTGGCTATGTATTCTGTGATAAGATAGATAGGATGGATGTATGCCCAATAATAAACCAAGCAAGAAACATGGTTTATACTTTGTTACCCCTGCCCATCATTCGCTTTATTTTGTAAATTGGATGCAAGTGGATGGAAAAATGACCGGGTATTGTCGAATTGAGGCTGTTGTTGCATCAAGCTCTATGATCGCCTTGTTGAGAAATCATCGATACAGTAATCATCTATGTCTCATCCAAAATAGTAATGCAGCTTGTCTGAGAAAATTACCAGAAACAGAAATGTGCAACTCCCAAAAAAGCCCCAGGTGGCAAGCCAAGCCCCAAACAGCCCAAAAAAAACAGCAGCCCCATATAATTCCAGAGCCATGTGGAATCTGCTTTGGGCGGCTTTAACGGATTGCGCTCGGTTATCCGGGGCAAAAAGACCCTGTGTATCCATCCAGCTGGTTAAGCTTGGTGCCCGCCCCAAAGTCCAGTGAATTGCCCCTCCATTTTGGATGATGAGGTGATCGGGGGACTTTTTTCTGATGGCATCTTGCCTCTCTTGAGTCTAGGAGAAGCTCGGGTGGTGGCGCAATGGGCAGGGAGCTCCAAGGGGTACTGTACTGTATTTGTCATTGTGATACTATTTTGCGACAATCCCCAGGTTTAGATAAAGTCAGTCACGTCATGAAGCTCAGAGCTGTACGGACATCCTGACATTCCGTAATTGTATATCTAAACACACAATTATCTAGACCTTTGCATTCGTGATACTCTTCCATCTTTTCTCATCTATTTACGGTGCATCAAAATCAATAAACAAATCCACCATTTTATATGGGCCAAAGTTTTAGCAACATAACCAGACAACCCCTACTGCTCGTCACCCTCGCAGTTGTATTCCTGGCCATGGCCTTTCAGATGCCCAACTTCCTCGCCCGGCTCTTCCGACCTACCCTCTCGACCACCAGCAGAATGTCCATCACCGGCGACGCGACCAACGGCGTTGGCATCTCCTCCAACAGCCTGCCCGAGGGCGCCGAGAAGGCGACCGTGGCCGCCGGCTGCTTCTGGGGCGTGGAGCACCTCTACCGCAAGCACTTTGGCGGCAAGGGCCTGTACGACGCGCGCGTGGGCTACATTGGCGGCGACACCAACAACCCGACATACCGCGCCGTGTGCAGAGGAGACAGTGGACGTGAGTTTTGAATCCACTTGGATACACCAGGAGAGAAATGGTAGCTAACCAGTCTTATTTGTGACCAGACGCCGAAGCCACGCAGATCATCTACGACCCGACCAAGATCACCTACCAGCAGCTCCTAGAGTTCTTCTACCGCATGCACGACCCGACCACGGCCAACAGCCAGGGGCCCGACGTGGGCTCGCAGTACCGGTCCGGCATCTTCACCCACACGCCCGAGCAGGAGCGCGTGGCCCGCGAGGTCACGGCCGCCGTCAACGACCAGTGGTGGAAGGGCCGCGTCGTCACCGAGGTCCTGCCCGCGGGCCGCTGGTGGGACGCCGAGGACTACCACCAGGAGTACCTGCACAAGAACCCCAGCGGCTACGAGTGCCCCAGCCACTTTCTCCGGTCCTTCCCCGATCTCAAGTGACGGTCGGGTCTGAGGGCGGGGCCACATAAGTTGTGAGAAAGGGTTGGGCAATGAGGGAAGAAGTGGGAAACATGAAGTAACTACACCGGCAGGGGCCCGGAAGTGCCTCGAACATTAACAATTTGTCATTCAACAAGATACCAAGGGAGGATTCAACACTAGATCCAAGTGGACGGAAGCCACGTGCGCTGTCAGTCGTGCGATATTTGCCGCGCCGCGAAGACATCGTTTGTATTGCAAAGAAGCGATTGTGCCCATGGCTTAAGAGGAAATCGCGCATGGAGAGGGTAAAGAAATGTCATTCACGAGCGGCGGACATGTCGCCAAACCACCTCAGAGTAGAGAAAAACAGTAAAAATTCATAAAAACTTATTCAACATGAATCACGATGGCTGGCTAATACGCTGTGGATGTATGTTCATTTGCGAAGCACGTCAGTGGTTGTCATGCCGATTCGTCCATGTATATGGAAGGAGTTTTGTGTAGTTTCATCAACGGGAAACGCAGCAAGGACAACTGAAGAGCATCTAGGGAAGAGATATTCCAAAATATAGGAATCGCTGGAGAGTCATCAAATATGGCCACTAACATGACAAGTCCAGCTGTAAGTGATAATTATTTCAAGCTTTTTATTTATTTTTGTTAGCTTTTTATTCCTTCCGGCTTACTATGCCAAGAAGACATTTAAAATGATAATTTATAAAAACGCCGCAGTATGAGGGGAGTAAAATCGAACTCTTGCTTTTTCCTCAAGACCGTTGGTATCTTCGCCATCGTGGCGTCTTCTCATCCTCCTGTACTATACACTCGACATTGGTAAATCACATCTACTTGCGTCGGTTTTGCTGCATCATCAGAATCTGGACCATTCTGATGAAGATGTTGAGGAAGTCCAACTCGAGCGAGATGCTCTCGTTGACGGGGTCCTGCTTGATGATGCCGCGCTCGGCCAGACGGGCGTGGTGTAGGACCTTTTGGACATCGTACAGAGTGAAACCACCAAAGACGGCGAGACCACCGTACAGCCAGATGTTCTCGGTAAAGGCCAGAGTGCGGACAGCAGTAGCGGGAATGACGAGAGGAGCAAGACCAGAGACGGCAACAATGGCGGCACCGGCCAACAGAGGTCCACCAATGTAGAGGTACTTCTCCTGCTTAGCAGTGGCACCGACGAAGGAGATGGAACCCATCATGGCGATAGTGTAAAGACCGGCACGAGCAATCAAGGCACCAGGAGCGAATGCAATCAAGGGAGCGATGAAGGCAGCCTGGGTAGCGTTGAAGGCGGTCCAGAGGGCGTACTTGGGGATGTAGCTAGCGGCTGGTTAGTAACGAGTTCTCTCTAGTATTTCGAGCAGTAAAAGGCCAACTTACTTGTCGGGCTCAATCATGCGGGTTCCAATCATGGTACCAAAGCTGGCAGCAAGACCACCAATGGCCACAACCCAGGGGTTGGTGACCATCAATCTGTAGACGAAACCAGACTGGACCATTTGGCGCGCAGTCAAACCGATGATACCAATTCCGAGACCAGTGTGCATGAATGTCTGGTTCAAGTAGGATCTTTCAAAGAGAGGCATGCCACCATCTTCACGGGTCTCGCGGTTGAACATGACGTTCATTGCGATCAGAGTACCACCGAAAATAGCACCACCCGTGAGCAGGCGGCGACCGAGGGAACTGGCATCGGCGGGGGCGGCACCAGCCTGGTACTGGTAGGATCGTCGGGCCTGCTGGAAGACATTGCTCTTGGTGGATCGGAGAATAGACGAGTTGGTGGCGGCGGTCCTCGAGGTGAAGAAGGACGAAGATTGCTTTGTAGATGTCTGATGGAATGCGCGGACGGGTGCGCTGCTTCGGAAAGCGGATTTCGTCAGCTCTGGGAGCTTGGTGGCCAGGCGCGCAGGCCCTTGGCGAACCGTAATGGTAAAGGACATGGCGTTGGGTATGCCCTGAGGAAATTACAGGTGATGTGGAACAACAATATAGAATTGACCGTGATGATGAGTCGAGTCTGTTGGGAGGGGACCCGGTGATGGTTTTATTCAAAGTCGTTAAGTCCGGGCCGGAGGCAAGGAAAG